GTTTTCACATCTATGAAGTGAGATGCACTGCATTGTGGGGTTGTTAGCAGAGAAAGAGGATTTTAAAACTCTGGGAAGTTATTGTGGTGGCCATTTTTTCTTTCATCATCATCGCCAGGTAAACAGTAGAAGAAAACATTCAAATTACAAAGGAGCGTGCGTTCGCATAATATTTCATTTGCCACTGCAGCGCATTGAATGACACGTTGCATTACATTGTGGCAAAACCTGAGCCTGGTTCAACTTTTTTACCAGAAGACACAGTGTTTTTTTGTTTTTTTGCCAGATACCTCATTGAAATGAATGAGATGGCTGTTTTTCTCACACAGTGCAAAAGTTGCAGCCTTATAACCTCCAGAAAATTTATGACAGTCCTACTGCCTGTCTGTCTCTTTGGTTACTGTAAATGACTGCCTATCTCACTGTCTGGTTGGACTGCTGACTGTCTCACTGCCTGTCTACAACATACTTACTAAACTGTCAGTCTGTACCTCTTTCCATCAAACTTTTTTGCTGACTCATTGCCTCTCTGATAGTTTGTCTGTCTTGCTGTCTGCTTGTCTTAATTACATCTCCCTTTTTCTGGTTTCAGTTATGAATCCAGACAAACCAAGAATGTACACATATACTCACACACACGCGCGCGTGCGTAGCAAGGTTTCTTTAAAAATCAATATTGTTTTAGCAGATACAAAAATATTCTTTCATCGCAAACAGCAAAGAAAAAAAATCCTAGTTCAAGCTGAAACTGCTGCACTGGATAAGCTTATTACAGGCGGTTTGTTTGTGTGTGTGTGTGTCTGGGAGGTTTTTGGACTCTTGATCACTCATCACCAAACTAAGACACACACATGCACGCACACACACACACACACACACACACACACACACACACACACACACACACACACACATACACACACACACACACACAGAAAGTAAAGCCTGTGTGACTGATAGGGTTTCCTAACACAGCAGATCAGACTGTGTCTCTGTTCTGGCTCAGTGGTGTTTAGTCTGTGTGTGTGTGTATGTGTGTGTGTGTGTGTGTGTGTGTGTGTGTGTGTGTGTGTGTGTGTGTGTGTGTGTGTGTGTGTGTGTGTGTGTGTATGTGTGTGTGCGCGAGACATGCTGGTTCCCCTTTGTACTTTCTGCTCATTCATTCGTTTCATTTTTCTTTTCCCGTTTCATTTTTCTGTTCATTTTTTTCTTTCTTTTCCCCTCCCTTTCCTCGTTACCCTCTACCATCTACTGTTTATTCATTTTATGTTTCCTTATCTCTTTTGTTTGTTCCATCTCTCTTTTTCTTTTATCATGTCTCTTTCCTCCTCATTCATTCTTTTTAATCTTTCTTTCCTTTCATCCCCATCCTTCTCTCCTCATTCTTTTTCTTTCCTCCTTTAATTTCTTCTGTCATGTTTATTTCCATCCTTTTCTTCTCTCATCTCTAATCCCTTGCTTATTGTTTTCCCTCCTGTTTTCCCTCATGTCTGCATATCCTTCCTTCCTCCCCTTTACACCTCTCCCCCTCTCTCTGTCTGACACTACACCTCTCTTTCCTTCACATCACATCCTCCTCCCTCTCTCTCCCTTTTCATGGTCCATCTACGCCCCTCCCTCCCTCTCCCTCATTATTCGGTATAATCGGTTGTCTAGACAGAAACTCCCCACACAGATCACACCTGAGAGAGAGAGTGATGGAGGGAGCAGAGAAAAAGAAAGACAGAGGAGGAAATGAGACAAGAGAGAGGGAGAAAAGAGGTGCTAAAATTATTTGCCTTTTCCCCTCCCCTTAAGTTCTCCAAGTGTTTGAGAGGAAAAGCAGTCTGAGACATAAACACACTGATTGAAGGAGAGAGAGAGAGAGAACAAGGGTAGAAAGAAAAAATAAGAAAAAGGGTCTGAACAACACACACACACACTGTCCCTTGAAGAAACTGCAGCTGAAATACATTCATTAGTTTTGTTCAGTACAGTCTAGACTGGTTGATTTTCTGATGAGTGTGTGTGTGTGTGTGCTCTCTTGTACTTCTATCTTTGTGAGGAACACTTTCCTAGACGTTTAGAGTGAGGACATTTTTGGAAAGTTAAAACATTTTGACCACATTTACCTCTGATGTTACCATGACATGCAATCTGTATTTGGATATCTGTCTAGATAAAGAAAAATGCACATTAAAGGAATTGTTCGACATTTTAGCAGATATGCTTATTCACTTTCTTGGATGAGAAACCCCACCCTCATCACCCGCAGGAACCAACAGGAGACTCACAATGGACCACTACAACCTGATGGTTAATATTACCACTAGAAAGCTAATCTCCTAGCATGTTTACTGCCAACTGACCACCACAGAGAGCCAATGTCTCATTTAGTGTTTCTTTCATATATGTTTCTGAAAACATGAAGCATTTTATTGGAGCTTTTCATGTTCTAAGACAGCTTGGCATCCGATTCTACCGCTATCTACAGCTTTAGGTGCTCTCTGTCCTGCAGTTTTAAGAGACATGTCTGAGCTAACTTTTTAGGGATTATCATCATTAAAAATAAGTTGTGTCTTTTTCATTATTTGATATAACTCCAGACATTCTGAACAGAGCTACTCAGTCTTTCACTTGAGCCCAACACTCAGTCATCAAAAACACCTAAAACGTATTAGTTTGAAAACGCTGCTGACGCCGTTTTCGTTTTAAAGCGTATTTTAGTGTGGACATGCAAAAATTAAGGACTTTGCAAACAATATATATTTGGCTAATTTGGTATATAAGTCATGCAAAGCAAAAACACAATGCTACTGACTGTTTTTTTTTGGTATGTTTATTAAAATATTTTGCAATGTGCAAATAATATTTATACACTTGTACGGTGCATGTTGCTGTCTTCCAGCCTGTTTTTCGCTGCCACAGTCACTTTGTACTCCCGTGTTACTTTTACATTTATTCATTTAGCTGACGCTTTTATCTAAAGCAACTTATAGCTGCTGTATATGTCAGAGGTCGCATACCACTGGAGCAACTAGGGGTTAAGCCTCTTGATCAGGGACACATTGGTGTCTCACAGTGGATTCGAACCCGGGTCTCTCACCAATATGTCCAATATGTCTCTGCATCCAAATGATGCTTAGATGACTTTGACTACATGATCAGCCCCTGGTGGGTGTCTACAGCGGTATGCAGCATGTTAATATGCAGAACGTTAATAATGGTAATGTTACTACTGTGACAATTGTTGCTCCTGCTTCTGCTAGGACTAAAAGACTATTACTAATTCTGTTACTATTTCAGTAACTCAGGCGTAACAGGACATTGACCCAGATTGTGGATTTATTGCTGCGTTCCAGACAACTCGGAATTCAAAATTTTCCATCCTCCAACTAGAAAAAGTACAACTGAATGCCATGGAGGTCCTTCTTGTGAACTCAGGGTAAATCCATCTACCCCGACTTTGTGAAGAGGCAGATGTCTGACATCACAATTAATGGCAGCACCAATGGAAGCGATTATTGTAAATGGTAAACCACCAACTAAAAAGCAACATAAAGTTTATTTGTCTGTATTCAATTAAAATAATACATACTATCCTAAAATCCTGTAAAACCTGTTCTGTAGTAAATTGATGTTAAAGTATGTCACCAATGTAGATGGTTATTAAGGAAAATGCTAAAAATGCTAAAATAATGTAAAAATTACTGGCTTTTGCAGGTTACTGACCGATGTAGCTAGACTGGAACATGGGTAACGAGTTACATATCTTCATGTCACAAGAGTTTATTAAAATGGCTATCTTTTTAATTGACACCAAGGGCACTGCTAAGGCTTAAATTGTGTGCACACTTAAAAATCAGTTTGTCACGGTCAGCGATGTCTTTTGTTTACATTTGGCATCATGCACCGGGAATGCTTTGAGGTTGGAAGCCGGACATTTCCACTGTGAAATTCTGACCTCCAACTGTGATGTCCTCACAAAACTGAGATCTGACAAGACCCTAACCCGGACTTGAGTGTACATACCTGACACGCCTGCAGTTAATGTGAATCAGCATGATCAGATGCAGACAGGTGAAACCTTGATTGCACCCCAGTGAAATAATAAATTAAGGTAATGTTGATTTGAGGAGTAAGGGAGTATTTAAAGTAAAATAAAGTACAGTTTCTTTGTATCAATTTAGCATTCACAAGCAAATACGTATTTATGTTGGAGGCTAATTTAAGTTTTGATTTAAAGTATTTCATTTTATTAGTTTGTTTCATTAAAATTTTGGCGCTAGAGTCTCCAAAACCTCCCATGAAATAGTTGACACAACAATCAGAATCGGCTAACAGGAAACACCTGCAGCCCTCCATGATTAGACTCTTAATAAGGCCCTTTAACTCCCTCTAAGCTCAACTAATGCAATGAAGCAGAGCGAGGTCTGCAGTCAAAAAGACAAGGGATGCATCTTTGCTTCTCAAACATAGTGGATAATAAAGAAAATAATTAAATAAACATTTAAACAAAATCCCATTCAGCAAACGATCTCCTGTTTATGTGACTTAAAAGTCCATATTGAGGTCACATTATGGCACATGGTCACACTTAAGGATGATTTTTTTTGGGTCAAAGCACAGAATCCCAGATAAAGCAATGACTGGGACAAAATAGGCATATATTTTCCCTTCGTTTTTATTATAATTCCTAGAGACAAACTGTATAAAAAGCACAGAGACAAAAACTGTCCAACTACGTAATTTCATAGGTTGCCATTTTAACCATAATAACTATCCATTCTGACTAAAAGGTGCCTATTCACCCCTTACATACAATTATGATAGCATACCAATGTCTGGGTGAAGTGTCACTCAATAAATCTTTTAACCACACAATCTGCAAGTTTTCTTCATTTTTGTGACAAATCACTGACATCATTATGAAGCTGACACGTTTACAATAAAGGTTAAAAAGAACAGCATATCCACATTTGCAAACACAGAAACACACATAGACACATGCTGAATGTTAACAATTTAAACAAAACTGTCCAAATGACTTTGCCCGACAGCTTCCTGGTTGAGGCTTCCTGAGCAATAAAGTATTCTACCTAGCAACAGTGCTGTAATCATATCTAACTGGCTGGTTAAAGCTCAGCTGTTTCAAGTTCCTGCTTCAGCCGTTTCGTTGAACACAGCCAACATGTTTGGATTTGAGATGACTCTGTCCGTTATCGTACTGAGCATTTTCACTGGAGCAGTTTGTACTTCTGCAACAAGTAAGACATGAACTGCAGCTTGTGTCAGAGTTCACATCAAGTGTAAATTGATGGTATAAAATTATAATCAGCTTCACTTTGATGTTTGTTTCTCAAAGTTAAGTTTATGTTTATTAACATGTGTCAGAAGATTTGACGCAGAAGAGGATTAAAATAAATAAAGTAAATTAAAAAAAAACAAAAACATCTAAACCAATCAAGGGCGTTTCAGGCAAACTGCAGTAACACACAGTGTGAAAACTAGAAGAGAAAGAGAAAAAAAAGGGAAGTTGAACTTTAGTGTGTCTGTGTGACATATTAAAATATGTGTTAAATGCTAACATCCCCTAATGGAGGGATTAAATATGGAAAATGTTTTATCTTTATGGTAAGAAGATGTAATCTTTGTGGAGCAGGGGAGGCTCATTTAAACATGTCCCATCCCAGATACATATTATATGTCTGCCATATGTTGCGAGATTTATTAAAGTAAAAATCAATAAGTTAAATAGATATATCAAGATATTAGGCTTTTGTGTGTGCCACAGGTGCCATGGGTGCATACTGCCAAATGCTTGCATTGTTCTTGAGAAATGCGTTTACCTCACCTTCCCTTTAACAGTTACTCACATCAAACAATCTAAGAGAAGAAACTCAGTCTTTGGTGAAACTGCTCACATATTCGACCTTAGTTGAGGCTTTAACTACAAATGAGGTGTTGTATAACATTAGCGCAGTTGGAAATAAATTACTACAGCTTTCACCCAACTTCCAGGTTTTTGTTAATGATGGCACATTATGAAAATTAACTTGTAGAAAGCAAAACGTTTTATGAAACACTGAAATATTGTCTTTCTTTCTTGCGAGTTAGAGTTAGATGACAAGATCAATACCAGACTCATATCTCATATCTCTCACACACTAAATTCAAAGCCACAGCCATCAGGCAATTAGCTTATCATAACAAATGAAGAAACAGCTAGCCCTGCTCTGTCCAAAAGTAAAGCGCTCAACTTATCAACATGTTATCTTGTTTGTTCAATCAGTTCAAAAAGTGGAGTATAAAAGTATAACTGTTGTAGTTTTCCTGGAGGGTATGTGCCACACTATTTCTTAAACTTCATGGAACTCCAAGAAACAGTCTGACACATAATCCCCCAGGTTAAACAATATAATGTGTTAATTAGTAAGCTTTAGGAACAGGTAGGTGGATTATTTTGAACTTTGGACAAAGCCCAAGTTAGTTATTATGTATCTTGTTGTCTAATGTTTTATCCACCTTCCAGGATGTGAATTAATGTCAGCGCAGCATGAAAATCAATTTTGCCTTTGAACTGTTTCCATCTTGTGATGGTGTCGTCTCCTGCTTTTCAGCGCCCTCCCATGACTTCCACTACATCTACGGGTGCTACGAATCCATTGACGTGCGGGTGGATGTGGTTATAGATGAGGAGGTGGCTGGGTATGCTGATTTCAGCAACAAAGAAATAATGTGGGTGATGCCTCACCTGCCACAATATGTATCAGACTTAAAGAAACGGGGTTATGAAATTGCCAAAGATAGCATTACCCACTGTCACAGCGTTTTGGGTAAAGCAAAAAAAGCGGATCCTGATGCTCCCATCCGTCAAGGTACTGCACATGACACAGTTTATGCAGGCCAACACTCAACACATTTGACACACTGTGAGGTTAGCGAGAGGGAATAAGAAATGAAGATGCCTGCAGCATCCTAATAAAGCTGGTTAATTTAGACACATCACAGCTGATCCAACTGAAAACATGAAGCACTCAGAGATTGCTCTTATAATACAGTTTTATTTCTGACTTGTAGCCTCAGGTGACTGAATAGGTGGCTTACTTGGCTACATTACTTACGAGCCACCACAAATACTAGATTTGGGGTGCATTGATAAAACAAATAGCCCTCTTTCTGGTGTCAAAAATGAATTGAGGCAGCTATTACACATTTTAAAAGTAATTACAGAATATTTAACTAATTTGACACTTGTGATAGTGTTGCCATGGGTGGTGGTTGCTGGGTGGTGCTGTGGCTAGCACTGTTGTCTCACAACAAGAAGGTCGTGGGTTCAAACCCTCTTTCTGTGTGGTTTGCATGTTCTCCCCGTGTCTGTGTGGGTTCTCTCATGAATGCTAATGTTCCCCCACATCTGCTCAATTTGTAAATAAGATGCTGTTTGCTAAAATATTTGCTTAAAACTTAAAAGATAAAGGTTTTCAGCTTGTTTCTGCTGCCCCCAAGTGGTCTGTTAGATCAGGTCTGCAGCAGGTTATGTTAAATGTCTGTTGCACCCAGCCCAGTATCACTTTGAATTACATAAATATTAAACCATTCTGTCCCTCAGGATTTAAATCCGACGCCAATGTGGAAAATGCGAGTGTGAGGGTGGTGGATGGCCATGTGCAACTTTAATACAGGAGATCATAGTGTCATCACAGACTTGCAATTAATGTTTTTATTAATGTTAACCAGAATCAGGGTGACTGTGCTCCAGACTATGTAGGTAAAGTCTTAAAGCTGATGATACGTGGGGGCAACTTTTTGAGCAGTGTTGCTGGGCAATCTTGCTGGTGGCAAGCCGGACTATTTTTTGAACGGATAGCGGTGGGGCGGGGCGGGTGGCGGAGTGGTGGGGGAAGAGGATTACGGTTGTAATCTTTACTCATTACCATTGATAGCAGCATTCCCCAGCACCATTGCTCTGAAAGTTTCTCTGTGTATCATCAGCTTTAGACTTCAAACTATAGCTAAGGTGAAGTCATAGAAACACCGCCTGCATGCTCATCCTGCCTTCTCTTCTTCATCTTAATAAATCTGTGGGACAACAGTTGAAAATGATCTAATTTGCTGTCCTCAGCACATTGATTACTGGTGATTAATAAGACAAATTAAAAAAGTAAATGAAATAGTTGCACATGCTTTTTTTATTTAATTGGATTATTTCAGTTTGGTGATTATTCAAGTTTGGTGATATTGTGGTGAATCACACCCTCAAAAAGTATCGTCAGACATTACTTTCTATTCTCTTTATTGAACAGAAGCTCCAGAGATCTCCATCTATACCCGGTATGAGGCAGAGGATGGTGTGATCAACACTCTCTTCTGTTTGGCCAATCACTTCCACCCCCCCACCATCAACTTCACATGGTCAAGGAACGGGGTGGAGATCACAGAGGGGGTATCGAACCTGCGTTACCGCCACAACAGTGACGGGACATTCCACAGAATTTCAACACTGAGTTTCACCCCTGGGGAGGAGGACGTTTACTCTTGTTCAGTGGAGCATCAAGCCTTACAACAGCCTCTCACCAGGAGCTGGGGTAAGACAAGGAGATCTAGTGTTTGTTTTTAAAATCTCTGTTATAAGTGTTATTATTAAGGGGGGATGCTGTTAAACTTATAAATACACGTCTCTCACACCAGAAAGGTTAGACAGAGAGAACTACACACAATACACCTGTTCTCTGCAGCTGCAGGTATGTTTTCTAACTAATAGTTTCCTCATTGCCTAAAATGAGAGAAAGATTGTCAAACCAACGTTGACTGTCAGTTGGGGAAACCAAGCGGTCTTCCATGTAAGTCAGACGTTGTGGCTCTATAATAATGCAACCAGACTTCCTCCCTTGTGCCGATGGTCAAGAGAATTACTACAGCCGCTAGAGGGTTTTGTTACTTGAATGTAAACAAATGTTCTTTGTTCTGTCTTTGCTTTGTTATAAGCTGAAACAACTGATTTTGTTTCACTTGGAAGGATGGTCACTTTAGTTAGGAGACACATTTCTAACATCTAATTTACAGGAAACAAAAAAGAAAACCAACAAAAGCAACTGTACTTTAGCACTGAGCTCACTTGTAGTTGTTTATTTCGGTGGGATGCACTCACAGTTGTTCACCTGGTGTTTTTATACACTTTCTGTAAGTCCCTTTGAAAAGCTTGTGCCAATTGAATGTAATGTAGCCTATATTTTGATTGAAAAGCCTACTGTTGGTTTGAACACTTCAGACACATTTTGTGTCATAAAAATCCTGGAAAACTTTTTGTGATTATTTTTGTTCCATCCACAGTGCCGATGGAGAGGAAGAGCAGCGTGAGTCCTGCAGCTTGGTTCTTCGGTGCGAGCCTCGTTTTGTGCCTGATGGGAATCGGGACCGGAGCCTTCTTTTTAACCAGGCGGTCAAATTAGTGCCTTCGCTTTGGGGGTTTTTACTGAGAGCAGCTCAACCAGCATTCAGCTACGGACTGTTTTTTTAATAAATAAATACAATATGACCTTTTTTTTTTCAAACACAGATGCTGCTAGAATTTTTTTACCATTAACTGAACAAGTACCCAAAACAGACAAGCCTCTTCTCCTCAGTGAGGCTGGTTTTCTGGGAACCAAAACCCAAAACTTCTTCGACTCATAGGAAAGGTGATCAAATGTTGACTGCGTTTCTTAAGTTTATATTCTTTTTTTTAATTTTTGCCTGACTGATATTGTATTAATATTGTGTGGTTTTTAATAAAGATAGTGTTGGATTAGATGTTAGAGTTGTTATAGGACCAACAGTAGGTTTATGTTTTTGTAAGATGGTAGGATGATAACATGAATACATATAGACATCAATTTGGTAACATTTCTCCTTTACAGTTCAGTCAAAAATTGTAATTGATACAGTTAATCACTTGATGATTTACTGAAAAATACTGCAAACCTAGCATAATGCAGTACATAATACATGCAGACTCCACACTCGGACTCGGAGGAACTGCACAGCGGTCCTTCCTGCTATACGGCTGCAGCTCCAACCACTGAGCCACCATGCTTTACATAAATGACACACTACTTCCTGCACTGGAGGTAAACGTTGCCGCTAGACGCAGATTGTGACCCGCAGCATCATCCAATATGCCAATACACAAATTGGCTTACACACCTGTTGTTTTCATATTCTGAAGACACTTGGGCTAAGAAAATAAATCTAAGAATGATAACCCTTCTTTAAGTCTCTAATCTGATGTCCGTATTGGCCGACTAGCCTAATTCAGTGTGAAAGTGTTCCCTGCGCACAATAGACCACACAGAGCTCATATACCAGGATGGTACAGTAAAGCTATTGTGTATAAGAGGTCAGAAAAAATAATCACCTGCTGTGAACTGCTGTGGTTTCAGGTGAGTGGGAGCCCTCTCCTGCTGCTGTCTCTTCACCAGTGAAACCAGCTAACACTATGCTGGAAAATGACAGCCAGACTGTTTGAGTCCTCCGCCTCTGATAGGCTCTGAAGAGATGTACAACAATGAAATGAGCTGTGACAAATTGTAGGGACAGGGAACATGAGTATATAGGGCCCTCAAATGAGGAGGGCCCACAAAGATACTAGAATGAATAGCCATGGATGTGGGAAAGGGCCCATATAGTATGCTTATGTACAGGGCCCAGATTTTTGTGCGACGCCTCTGCTTGTGTGTGACATGTTTTAATTAGTACTTCACAGTATAGCATAATGATTTCCTGTATGATATCTTTACTAACAATATTAACTTTTTATTACTACTCTGCAGTAAACTTGTCTATCTATCCACAGACAACAAATTAAAAAAACATTTGGCTAACTCCGGTGCATTTACAATAGTGTTTATTAATATAAATGTGTGTAAAGCTCCTTTTAAAAGGCCAATTCAAAATGATTTTGGTATGCTATACTGTTTTAAGATCTGGGTATTATTTTTTTGAATTAAGTTTCCAAAATCAATATTACCTTTTTTTTTGTTTTTACTTCTGTGGGGATTCTCCCCCTCCAGTATTATTACTGTTATATCCAAATTGAGGTTCATTGTGTAAGAAATAGATTTTTAAAATGTATTTTTAAGTTGTTACGAGGGGGGAAAAATTGACAAATATAAGCCCACCACTCTCAAATCAGATGTTTTTGACTTGTGAAATCGGATTCTGCCTGTAATACTTTGGTCTCACCACAAGGTGTCACTGAAACGTTTTAAATGTTGTTTTTGCCGGTGTTGTACCGAATTCTGCTTGCCTCCCGAGAATTGCATGCACCTCGCGGGTGATAACGGTCATTTATGCTGAGAAAAGAGGTGGATGCAAATCTCGGCAGGTAGCTTACAAATTTTGATCTGCCGAATTCTGCATCCACCTCTTTAGGTCCTTTTCAGACACTTTCCTGTGCTCATTGATCAAACGGCGTTATTACCACATAAATTTACTGAATGTCAAGGAATGGTACTTCTACTAAGTGTATTAAAATATTAAAGACTGTAAACGTTCCTAAAATATATGCTTCGAATCATTTAACACCACTGATGAACCCCACAAAGACTATTATAGCGTTTAATTCTCGCCAGGCAGGCAAAATTTGCCATAACACCTGGCTGCGGTTTCGGTGCCTCCTTTATAATTGTCCCCGGATCAACATATTTCCCCTCTGTAGTTCCACAACACGCATGTATATAGCTGTCCAAAAGCTTTGGTGTCATGAGTGCTGATAATTGTGGTGGAAATGTGTCTGTGCCTTTACGAAATCTACTGAACTCCATCCAGTGTATTAGAGACCGAGTCAGAGGTAAATAAGACACGTTAGATAAAACGAAGCACAAATAGTTAGCCTCTAACTGCTAATCCAGCTATACGCATGCTAGCTCGCGCCAAGCTAAATGTGCTAACTTTTGCTTTAACTCAAACTAAACGCTTTTTTACATACGCTTAACAAGGTCTCTCCCTGTGAATTTTTGTTTTTAAATCGTTTGTGTTATCTGCTTACGACTTTTATGCTACAGTTTTGCTTTCCTGATTGTTAGCTAAACTGTAAACACGTTGTCAAATTTCCTACTAGTCTCTGTTACAGGTCAACATAAACACCTAACACTAACTTACATTCAGCTAAAATCTAACGATAGATAAGGTAACAGCACAAGGTTAGTTAAATATAACTGTTTTAGCAACTGTTTAAAGACGTTGCTTCAAATGCGTGGTCATTTTGGAGGCTGTCATTTTAGTTTGTGGTGTTGTTGGATTGAAACATCGCAGTATATGGTAATGCACTTCAACAGCAAAAACTGCAGCCTCACATGACATTAAAGTTGTTCTATAAACAGTTTGGCAGGGATCGCAAGTTTTATTAAAAGTTTGGCGTGAGATTAAGTTACATCTGTTAGGGGAGGAGCTCCTCAAATACCTGCGGCCCCACCTAGTTCTTGCTTGTAGTCAAATTTTACCTGTTGTTTATAGTATATCTGCATTGTTCAGTTTACATACTGTACACATAGAGTAGGATTGCAGAACTCTGAGCATGCATGCATGTCAAGCTGTGTGTGTGTGTTTGTTTGTATTTTGATGTCTCCCACTTCACTTAAACAGTCATTTTCACAGTCATGATGGACAATGAAAATGAGCCAAAATAAAGAAATGCGTCAATAATAATTTAGCACGTCATCCCTTACCTCACAGCATGAGAAATACCAGGTGTGGCGTGTGAACTTGTTGAAACGTGTGTTGTCAGCCCTAGTTTTGTCATTTGTCAACTGTTTGGAAACTGGCCACTGAGTGTGCATTTGAAGTTTGAGAGTGTAATTTCTCTCAAATCTGCTGTAATTTTTGTATACAATATATATAATATTGATGAGGAAAACTTTTTATGACCAGAGGGAAATGCCTGTTTTTTGTTTAATCCGGTGAAGTAAATGCATGAGAAATTAAGAAACATTTGCTACAATGATGCAATTATAGCACATACAGGCTTAATAATGTTACACTATGGTGTAAACAATTTGGCTAAATCTCTGTATCCAAACTGGAAACAAAAGAACACATAATGGCCAACATAATAACACTGGTATGTGATCAAAAGCAACAATAATTAAGAAACCTACAAAAGACAAGCATACAGGGGGAGTAACGTCAAGTGAACACAATATCGCCATTCTGACAAAAATTCATAAATGCTTAAGTTTTTACAACTTATTAATACCATAATGCCACCCAGAGCAGCCTGTAGCCAACAAACATTTTTTTCATTGGTCAGTTATAATTGTCAATACATTTTTTTAAATGTCAAAAACAGATACAAATGCCGATCACAAATTGTGTCTTCAGATATAAAAAATATTCATTTTTTCTTAATAATTATAATAATTACAAAATCTGGGTTTTTAGATGTCAGGATTATGACAGTTGATTTTAACCTGGAAGGGGGAAGATTTCCTAACGAATGCTCATTTTCCACCACAGATGGAGAGTCTAATGAGTCAGATGGAGCGTTCAACCTCTCCAACTTCTGGGAGACTCTGAGTTGAGTATAGTTTTTCATGATCCTCCTATTCGTCCTGTTCCTTCTCCAGCATCTGTTAAGATTGAAATTCACTGTTAGCCTGGATATCTTGTTTTGCTACAAGCCATTACAAGTCTCTTATATGTCAAACATGTGCCTTTTATAATAATGATGTACTTGTTTCTGTGACCTCTATTTATTTATTTAGATAGGGTGCTGTTTCCAATAACTCAATATTTCGTGACAAATATTATTTCATCTATTTTAATTTATATTCCTTCTTATATTAAGTTCCAATGCCATCGCTCTCATGTTCAACACAGAAACACATCAAGCCACCATGGAATTAAACCACTATCTCAAAGCTATTTAGTCGGACGTTTAAAGGTGGGCAACATTAGCTAAGTTGTGGGTTGCCGCTGCAAAGCTAACATGCAGAGATGACAAAACAGTCCCAGAGAAGCACAGCCGCTCCAGAAAGCGATACATACAACTCTCCTGCAACTATTGGTAACAACACAACAACAGCATGTCTTAGCAAAATAGAAAGTTAGCTGAAAGTCAGTGGGCAAGTCATTTCATGTTACCTGACACACAAATCATGGATGGAATAGTGCTGTATGGCGTGGAGCCAGCCACTTTGTCTGTCTCCCATTTACAGAGCCAGGGCTGTGTACAAACACCGGATTTTTATTTCAGCTCATGCACAGAATGGACAGCTAGCATGACATGAGGAGACATTCACTAAATTTGACAAAAAAATTCTTTGTATTTGTACTGGATTAGAATATCTTACCCCACCTTTGATGTGATGTAACTGTCTCTTCTATCCTCAGACCAGGCAGTGAAGGCAGTGTCCCAGGAAGCCACTAAACTCAGCTTGGCCTTCTCCAAACCCCCGCTGCCATCACAACAGGTCAGATTATTATTGATATCATAATGTTGTATGGGTATGATCCACAACAAAACACCTTGATAAAATCAAGTGAGAGTGAGTGTGAGTTAAAATAGATAGAATCACAAAACAAACAACATAAAGACACTCAGAGGAATTTCACTAGAATATGAACTAGTATATACAAAGATTATACAAACATTAAGCGTGGTGTGCTGTTCATTGGTCTAATCTATTAGACTAGCCTTACTGATCACTCATTCAGTTTGTGCCACCACCTTCATGGTGACTATCACATTAGGAACATTTCCCACGCTCTTAAATTGGCTCATAAACTTTCTATTGCAAAGTTCCAACACATGTATGCATTTTCTGTCTCTCTTTTTTTCTCCTTTCTGCAGGATGTAGAGAAGCTAGCAGAGGTCATCCTGAAGAGTGTCCTTACTCTGTCTACAGTGTATTACTGGCTACCTAAGAGCCAAGGTAATGCCACCTGTCCAGGAATTGGCTCATTTCAGCCAGTTCAGAAGAACAATGTGTTTCCTCTGTTCTCATTTATATAAATATTTGCTAATATTTGTCTTCTGCTTCTGCTGCAGTAACTCCTTTTCTATACTTTGGGGTCATTCATGTTGGATTGATAGTTCAGTATTAATAACTATAATAAAAGACGATAGCTTTTCACAGGGTGTAAAAACTCTCCAATGAAGCTCAGACTAGACTTAATGTTACCAAGAACATGCTGCCCAAAGCTTGTTGTGTCTGCTGTTTGAGATTGTGTGAATAGATGTAAAATCTTTGTCAGTATCTCGTCTCTGTGATTCTATTGTCTCAGGTATCAGTCTGCGCCGACAGGTCAGAGACGCCACAGTCGAGGTCCTGGAGGGAGTCACACAGCTTGTGGAGGCCATACTGAGCTCACCGCTACAGAGGTACATGCACACACAAACACAAAGTTAATATAATGTAGCATTGTAACAATACAGACGCTCATTAGTGTTGTCATACTACCTGAAATTTTAATTAGTAGTTTATTATTCATTTTATTATTATACAATTGAAATTTGTACTGAATTTTCTGAACTCTGACATCTAATCTACTGGATTCTTCTGTTATCTGTGGTATCAGTATGTGGTAATGAAATCATACATTTTGTATTTGTGTCAATGTTCTGGCGTCATTGTTAACACTTTTTCACATCGTTATTCATATCGTACCAAAAAAAGTATTCACCTATCTTTTATTGTTTTACAATGAGTTTAAGTACTTTTTGTTTGGCTTTCTTGACACTGATCAACAGAAAAATTCCTGTTGATGTCAAAGTAAAAACAGACAAATTAATTACAAATACAAAATACATGTTTGCATAAGTGTTAAGTGACACACCTAAATTATTATTCTAACTGGCTTTAGAAATCTACTACATACTGACT